CTCTCTCTCTCTTTTTTTTTTTTATAATTAAAAATTTGCTATCGTAATTATAAGTTCGCTGCCCTTTCTCTCAATTGAAATGCATTTATATAACCTCCTCTTCTTGTACGCGACTCACATGCCTTAAATAGTATCTTTTCCAAAATATGTATATATATATATAATTCCATTTTGTGCTACCATTTACTTTTAGCAACATCACTATTCAGTACATTCTACTTTATTTAGTCACACATTATTTTGAATATTAGTGACAATAGTACTTATTTATTTCATATGATAGCATTTCTGTAAAATGCTTCCCAAGTTTCCCACTAAGGTAAACCTATTCTCTCCTGACGTAGCAACAATTATAATTTGAAGGATGATACGAAATTCATCCTCCATTTATGTGTACTTGTTGACCTCAGAGATCAGTATTTAAACACCAACCATAAATTAAAGGAAATATTATGATTTAACACCATCAAGAACCTAAATCCAAGTAAATCAGCTTATTACACAATATATTCCACAAACTGCCGTTTAAAAAAATACCAGAGGTTTTGTAATCTAACCTGATATTATTCATGATGCGCTTCCTCGGTCATCCAATGTCGATAGAAAAGAAATCCACAGGGCACAGCGACCAAGCGACAAATGATTTGTACATAGAAGTTTTATGAAAATGAGATAGAAAGCATCAGTGAAGTTGACAATAAAATTGAGCAGGAAACAGCTTATGACCAGCATGCTAAGATTATTCCGAAGAAAAGATACGATCTGTATATATAAAAGAATCAAATTGTATATTCTGCCAGAGAGTATGCAGACAGACATTCTGAAAACTGGAAAGCAAAAAGCCTTCATATGCGTGCTCTCTAATGGTATGATACTAACCTCCATAGAAGAATGAAAACATTGCAATACATGCTATCTAATATCCAGCCTCAGTTTCTACTATTTTTCTATATAGTTCTTATGATTTTCAACAATATATGATACTTGAACTGTGTCTAGAGAACAAACAAGGTCCATCCTGCGCTTTCGCGGCTTCTGCTAAGCTGATCAATGACCGACCATTCCATCTCCCTTCTGAATTGCCTTTCAACTTCGGTCCATCAAACAGTGCAGCAACACCCCACCCACGGTAAATGTTTCTATTCAGTCCACTAATTTTGGGTAATTTGAGAGTATATCAGACCCCATTGTGAATAGAAGCATTTAGATCGAAAGAAATGAGAAAAAGGAGCTGCTATTATATGGTAGGTATTCAACCTTCCCATTATTTAGAGAATTATGGAGGGCATTAAGGACATTACTGTAACCAAGAATAACAGTGGTGTAAGTGGAGTGACCTCATGTGCAGCACCTCTATGTTTGTGTTGAATAATGCTCAGCTTCAGAAGATGCAAAAGGAGAACTACCCAAAGCATCCAAATCTCATAGAATATTAATCACAACTGTCAAATAGATCAGGGAAAAAAATAAACCATAAGAACTCAAATGTATTTTTGGGTGGATAGGATTTGTGTGTCTTATTGCATGGACTTATCTCCCTTTGACAGAACAAAGTTCAATTCAAGTAAATTGACGGCACACAAAACTAGTAGAGGAAAATATTTGTTACCTTATTAATTGGTGAACAAACATTTGCACTACATATAGGATTTGCTACTTTCTTACGGGCAATGACAAAAATAAAAAGCAACTCCTAAAATGTAAAATTAATTAACACACGGATTAATATTCTTTATTCAGATAAAAAAAGTCAGATCTTACTAATATATTGAAGTAGAACAAACAATTATCAATCGCGCAGAATTACAAAAACAGAAGAAAAAGAATTAAATTCAACACAATTTCTAGATCTGTTAACTTGAACTAACTCGCAAGTAGCTAAGCTTGCATCTATCAGTAGCTATATTCTATCCTGACTAATTTAATAGTTTCAAATCAATACATAATTTCACTTTTCTTAACATGATTTTCCTTCTTCCTTGAACATTAATTAGATAGAAACTCTATATTCTGTAGCTTTCAGTAAAATAATAAATTATACTACTTGAAAAAGGTACCATGGAAAATGTGACTACAAAACATTCAAAAAGCACAATTGCATTTAAAATCTCATGGAAGTATAATTGTACAAATTACCCTTGAAATCTCATAGCTATGCATCCTATATATACATAGAAGCTAAATGCTATAAGAATTCTAGCTTTTAAACTATTGCATTTAATTTGAAATATTCTTAGAAGCTGCAGTTACATTTCCAATGTATAAAAGAACCCAAGACTGTAATGACTTAGAGTCACAACAACAACACATTAACGGCGTAGATGGGTATGAAAAATTATAACCCCTTATGTAGTATTTTCTTCAAACGTCCCACCAACAATTATTACTTGAATGAGAAAACCGAGATCACTGCACAAAAACGTCACCCTCCATATCTGCACAGTAAACTTCGCCAAAATAAGGAAATATCAAGCATTAATGCACAAAGAAGTGTATGAAAGCCTGTCGCGCAAACAGCTACTGTAATTGACCATCAAATTAAACTACATTTTTAATAAAATTCTGCTACTTAATTTATAAAATTTCAACCCTATAACCATGTTAGTGAGATAACATCCAACCAAATCGAACAGTAATTATCCAGCAAGTAAGGCCTTCAATAACTAAGCCACAAGAAGGGAAAAAGTACAAGAAATGTTGCAATTAATCGTATTTAATTAATATACATTAGTGGGCATTCAGATCGAGGTCCAAAATTCGAGTCAAAATTAGTATTCTACACCAGACAAATTGCATAAACGAATAGTAGGCTTTACTAAAAATATAAAAAGTACAAGAAATCAAAAGCGATAGGCTTGCTATATTTGCCAATTTTGATATTACAGACAACCCAAGTCCAACCAATTCTACAATTAATTCATTACGCTATGAACAATACAAAATAATCATAATAACAGCAAAAAGAAACCGAATCGGATTTGAATTGTAGAAAGAAAATATGACCGAAATTACATTAATTAGAAAATAATAACAACAATGGCATTCTAGATGTACCTAGAGAAACTATCAGCTGAGAAGTTCCCATCAGAATCATACTTTGAGGAAAAAATACAGACTCCAATGTCATGAATTTAAATCAAAGCATGCGCTTAATAGTAAATTAGCGCATCAAATGATACACGCGTCACAAATTGACAAGAGAAACAAAAACCAATTGCTCGGAAGAGAGAGAAAGAGATACCGATAGGGAATAGGGAGAGGACCAGCCTATGTAGTCTCGAGAGAGGTCCCGTTGTAACGCTATTTTCGTGTTCGTTCGTGGCGATAATTCCGGTCAGTGAGCAGCATCATGAAAAGCCACGCTCCACAAAACTGCAAATTCAGATGAAAGTAGAGCAGCATATAAAATTCGAACGCAAATAAATAAAATGTTCAGGATATAATACTTAGAAAGAGATGAAGAAGAACGGCAAACCGATGGATGGAGATGGATGGATTGTGAAACCCGATCCAGCGTTTGAATCTGACAGAGAGAGATGTGAGCACGCAAAAGCATTAGCATACATTTATACCAACTACCTCTGTGTGCTCACTCTCTTCTGTCAAATTCCAAAACCAAGCGACGATGAATTGGCCAGAAGAACATAAAAAAACATATACACAAAGAATGCGCAGAGAAGCGAGAGGATTAAAAATGGCATGGCGAAGGCCAGTCAGATCCAGAGCAAAACAAACATGATAGAACCGCTAAGAATTCAAACAACCAGCGCCATTTCATAGAGGAACATACATAATTAGGGTTTTTGAGGTTCAAAGCGAAATAAATACGCAGTGAAGATTAAGAAAAAAACCAAAAAGAAGAAAAAATTGGATTCTCTCTCTTCCATGCAGGACGTCGGTAAAAGTGCCGACAACACGTAATCAAAAGCTTCTGTGAAAGACAGATCAAACAGTACCGCCACGACGGCCACCGCCTGACCTGACCGTCGCATCGATCGTTCCAAATTAAAGAAAAATCATCAACAACAACGACGAACAGAAACCGATTAATTCCAACAAACGAATCAAAACAAATTAGCAAACAGAACCGGAAAGAAAAAAAGATGGATCCGTTCTCCGGTTCGCAACGGCTGGGGGATGATGACCTTCCTCCATCTTATCAGTTAAATCAAAACCCCACTCGCGGTTGGTTTTTATTGGGGGAAACACACAGTGCATCGAGATCTTTCACGATGAAAAAACAAAAAAAGATACAGAAAAGAGGGGAAATCCGGTACTATGCTCACACTGAAACTGTGTAATATTAAAATGGTCTTTTGGGGGAAGGTGGCGTACGTGTCAGGTGATGATTGGGTGGCGAAGATCTCAGGAGGGTACGTGTAGGAGTACGGAGGAGTGTGACTGTAATGAATCGCGACCGTAGAATGGAGTATTAAAGAGAGGGGGAATCCTGGCCGTGGGATCATTGATGGCGAGGGTGGGGCCACCAGATGTTGCTCGTCGCGTTGGAAAATGGGCATGATTGGAATGCGTCGTCACCCAACCAACCTTCTATATTTTATTTTTATTTTTTGCAAAGGAATAGGTTATGGTTATGGTTATGTTATTATTGTTATGTCATGTGTGCCCCAGGTTTTCTTAAATGTACTCAAATTTTGTATTTTAGCCCATCAAAATCAAAATATAATTAATTCTTTAAATATTTATTAGAAAAGCAACATAACTCTCTTTTTTCTTAAAACAAGTTCTGAAATCAAAATTTTATAACATGATCCTTTTTCGACCTGAGCCATTTACGTAAATAAATTAAAGAAAAGAAGTATATATTTCGTAACATAGCATAAAGTTTAAAAATTTTTATAAGAATAAAATCATCCAAATTAGACACATGATGCTGTAAGTTTGTTTGATTATATTTTCTGATTTTTTTATTATTAAAAAGTATAAAATTTATGTATTTGAAAAAAAAATGAAAAGTCGTGTCTTTCGTTTAAAAATATACCTAATAAATTGTAAATCTAACCTAGCTTAATCGATTAAGGCGTTGTATTATCAACAAAAATATCGAGGACGTTCAAATTCAACCTCCATGTATTGTTCGACTGAAAAAATACCTACGAAATTCATGGTAGGATGAAAATATGGTTCTTTTTTTATAAAATAATGCAAATAGAGTTTTTTCTTTTTTTTTTATTTTAAACAAGACTATCACGTCATTAGTTCAAAAAGTATATAAGAAACATATATTTCAGAGAGATGAAGGCAATGTGGTAATAAAAAAAAATGTTGATTTGAACTACTAAAAGGAAGCAGCAATTTTGATATCGTCGGAACTATTTTGAAAATAGAGTTAAAAATTCAATCAACTAAAAATCTAGAAGTTAAATTAATATAATTTGTATGGTTTTGACATTCTTGATCATATATTTAATTGTGATCGTTTTAGGTTTATTTTTTGTCTTTTTAAGAAAGGTAGAATTTTTTAGTACAAGTACACTATAAATAATTTCCAATTAAGTCTATAAAATGTAGATTTTTTTTCCGTCATAGAAAGTAAATTCTTATACGAACAATTAAGCTCAAATGTTACTTATATATTTTACTTATCCCACCATATAGATTTTTTCTGAAAAGAGATACCTCACCACCAATTCAAACAGTAAAATTACTTCTTAAGATACCAAAAAATTTTTGAAACCCTGAATTCAAAAATCAAATACAAATCATATAAATCAAGATTGTGAAGCTCATTTCCCAACATAATTCAAACATAAACTATACATTTTTAGATTTTATAAATCACAATTTAACACATTTACTTTTACTCTAACAAAATTTTTATTTAAATTTCTGAAATTTGTAAATTAAAGACCTCTTATATAATTGAGTGAATTCAATCGGTTGAAATTTTATCTATTGTTTAAATCCTAAAAGTAGATAAAATAATAATAAACTCAACTTATTATAGCATAGACCATAAATACATATAGATCATCAATTAGATAAAATATTAAAGGTCTTTTTTTTAATTCAGCGAATGGGATGGTGGGAATTAAATTTCAATATTATATAAGGTATAGGTACTATAAATCTGCTAACATAAGCATAACTCGCACCTTCCAGTACGGCTACCTTGTTACGACTTCACTCCAGTCACTAGTCCTGCCTTCGGCATCCCCCTCCTTGCGGTTAAGGTAACGACTTCGGGCATGGCCAGCTCCCATAGTGTGACGGGTGGTGTGTACAAGGCCCGAGAACGAATTCACCGCCGTATGGCTGACCGGCGATTACTARCGATTCCGGCTTCATGCAGGCGAGTTGCAGCCTACAATCCGAACTGAGGACGGGTTTTTGGAGTTAGCTCACTCTCGCGGGATCACGACTCTTTGTCCCGATCATTGTAGCACGTGTGTCGCCCAGGGCATAAGGGGCAAGTGGATTTCTTTTCAAGGTTTCAATCCTCCGTACCCCTAAATTGTTGTAGTAAAAAAATACTTTAAATCTCACTTGCATATTTTTAGTACTATATTTTAATTAAGAAAATCATACACATATGATGATGATAGGTATGTATTATATATGTATCATGTATGTATGCATCTACATGTACATGCATACTAGTTATGTCTATACTCATTAATGAGGAGCCAGGTAGTATTAAATATTAATAGCTAAGGTACTCAAAATATATATATATATATATATATATATATATATATATATATATATATTTTGATAGCTAAGAAATTTGAGCACCTGGGACCACTATTTTATTATTTTTTATTTTTTACTTATTTACTAAAGATGGAAAATACAATAAAGTGTTTTAAATACTATTTTATTATTCGCCAAACTTTGTAATAACTGTTACATTGACGTATTTGGTGACCACTGCACGAAAACACTTCCCTCTGGCACATATAGGTTTAAACTTTAAAGCCTCTTGGCCAAGGGTGAAAGCGACATTTCCTGTCTTTTCCTTTTTTTTTTTTGAGGTTTATAAATATTGTAGATATATCTTATTTTAAATTCAACAAATTTAGATATTGTTTAGTTGATAATTTAAATTTTAAATTTCTTATTTCAAAAAATAAGAAGTTTGTATGTCAGTTGGAATATATTAAAACTTTGATCCTCAATTTTCTTAATTGTTGAACTGAACAAACAAATGTAGACACATAAACCTAGGATATTTACATTTATATATCTTCCCAAATTTTCAAATTTACCAAAAAATAATAAAAGGTAAAACTAGAAACTAATCATGAATAACAACTCAATCTGATTTATATAAAAAGAAAACCATAAAACATGTAATATTTGTAAAATTAAAGAACCACTTAATTTCTAAAAGCACCCAATTCAAATCAAAATAAGTGAAAAAAATTAGAGTAAAGAAGGTATATGATCAAAGTTTAGAGACTGACATTAAAATATCTTATAACTTAGGGATAAAGGTTCGTTTGATAATGATTGTTAACTTTTTGGATGCTCTAATAACCAATAAATTATTGAATTGAATTAAAAGCTAAGATGGAAAAAGAAAGGGCCAGGATGAATTATTCATAGACCACCCCAAGAATAAATTTTAAAAAACAATTACTTAAAATACTTCCTATAATNAGCGGAAATTTTCAGGGTGTCAGGTAAATAAAGAAATGGGAAGAGAGTGGAAAAAGAGAGGATTTTATGGGAAGCAGAGACCACGCTATTAAAGGGGCAGTGATTGTTCCACATATCCAACTTCCTTAATTTAACCACACCATATGAAGGAAAAAATAAAATAAAATAAAATATTTAAAAAAGAAAAAGAAAAAAAAAAGGCTAAATTTTGTAGGGAAAAACTTTTAAGATTAGGGTTCCAATGGGTGTGGACCACTCTCCCACTGCCCTATTAGCTATTACTCATAAATTGAATTACATCGACTGTATCAAGGCTTTCTTGAAATGAGCCATATGATTTAATGTCCTAACCCAGAATCTTTATCTCCATCATAAAAAACAATGTAACTGTGCAACCCAACCTTAAACTAATCTTCAAATGTGATAGATTTCAAATTGATTCAATCAAAATTAAAGTTGGTATTTCCCGTGCCCTTTCTCTTGTTTATAATCGTTTTTGGCCTATTTTTGTTGAAGACAACGGTACCTCAAATATCTCCACAATTGTATGATATTGTCCGGTTTGGGCGTAACCTTCACGACTTAAGGTCTCGTACTAATAGAGATAATTGTCCTCATATATATATCATGGGTCGTGCTCTTTCCAAGCCAGTGTGGAATTTTGTTTGCACTTTTTTTACAAACTCAATGGTTTTTTCTTATTTTTATCTCTTCCTTTTCAATAAAGAAAAATCACATGGATTCAAGAATGATAAAGTAAGATTTTTATTTATGTTGGAACAAATTAGAAATGGGTCGAAACAATTTGTTGTTTCTAAAATTTTGATACAATTTTGAGAATATTTCTAAAAAAATGAGAAATAAAAAAACCTAAATAGTTGTCAACATCTCTAAATAAAATTAGAAATGAGAAATAACAAAGGAGAACGTGGGTCTTTAATTTTTTGTTTTTTGTTTTTAAGACTTAAAAATTTAGACACACTGCTCCTACTTAGTACTTTTGGAAATGTTTTTAAAATATGTGTCAAAATTTGAAAATTAAAAATAGTTCTTTTTTCCGATTTGTATCGGTGATGACACATCCAAAGAAATTAAGCATAATTTTAAAAAAACCAAATTGTTATGAAACCATGTCTTAATTCTTTTTCTAAATACCAATTACGTAACTCACGCTCGTAAAAATCACAATTCTACAACAACAAAAAAATGTAAATTTGTAATTTAAATTATGTAAATTTTAAATAATTTATCTAAGTTTTGGAAATTAAATATCAGTACAACATTATACATAATTAAAATATTGTGCCTATTTTAGTTTAGCATTAGTTTATCAAACACGTCAACCCATTTTTTTATGGTGTTAAAATTGAGATTTACCAAACATTAAATTACTTCATAATATAATTTTTTTAAGGAAAAAATATATATACAATTGACAACGTTTATTTTAGTGGCTACATCAATCAGAAACTAAGCTTAAAGTGACTTAAAATTTTGGTCTGCACAAAAATTATTAATATCTTAATGAGTACACAAATTAACTTGATATNTAGGTTTGTAATAAGTATTTTTTCCTTCTATATTGGATGT